ACCTCATGTAGATGCCCACCTACCCAAGAGTTGAGATGTGTACCTCAAGGGGATTTGATTAACTTTGATGAAACTGAGCAAAATGCAGCAATGATGGAACTAGAACTGGCTTCAGCAACTGGTGTTCAGCAACTCCCTTGAAATTGACTTCTTCAACCTGCAGATCACAGGCATGGGCTGCACCAGATACACCAGCCATGAGCTCCAGATGCAGCATGCAACAATCCAACAGCGCACACCATCTCTCCTGCCCTGAGAAACTTATGGCAGATGGAGCCTGAAGACATGGACTAAATGAACACAGCTGACATTTTAGAGTGATGGCCCGTGGACTAAGGGAATGATATCTATATGTGTGTGTGTGTGTATACACACACATATATATCTCAAAGACAGGGAAAGTGGTAGTGATTAATTGGAAAATGTAGGATCTGAACGTGTTGTACATGGTATAGAATAAGAGGTGGATAATGTCCTGGTTTTTGGCTGGGATAGAGTTAATTTTCACCAGAAGCTGGGATGAGACACAGCCAGGACAGGTGACCCAAACTAGCCAAAGGGGTATTCCATACCATACCACACCACTGTCATGCTCAGTATATGCGGGGACTCCAGGATGGGCTGTGTGTCTGATCGAGTGAGCAAATTGCATTGTGTATCACCTGCTTTGTACGTTCTAAGTACTGTTCTTGCTATTTTCTCTCCCTTGCTGTTCCAGTAAACTGTCCCTATCCCAACACATGAGGTTTTGCCTTTGTCTTCCGATTCTCCTCCCCATCCTGCTGGGTGAGAGGGGTGAGCAAGTGGCCGCGTGATGCTCAGCTGCTGGCTGGGGCTGAGCCACAACCTAATGGTTTCTTGTTTCTTTTTTTTAAACATAAGAACTTGGTCTGTATTCATGCTTGGTAACTGCGGAGTTGTATCAGGAGTTGTTTTAGCACAATGTGTTTAAAATTTAAAGGCAGGCTACTGGTTGTGTGCATGTGCGTTGTATGCACAAGTTTGCTGGGAATTTGTTTCTTAAATAGATTTCTTTCTTTTCTTTCTCTAATTCATTTATTTATTCATCAGTCCTCCTTTTTTTAAGCTGTATGACAACACAGAAAATGCTTTACAGTTGATTCTATCTTCTATTTTTCGCATGTTGTGAAAATCTTTAAAAAGTTGGGCTTTGCTTGTGTTCTTGACAGAAGACACTCTCTCAAGAAGCATCAGCTAGTTTTGCAGACAGTAGCAAAAAACCTCGAGTGTAGGTGATGTATTACAGAGGTATTTTATGTGAAATAATGTTTCTGTTGAAATCTAACACCAGCTTCAGTTCCAGGCAGGTCTACAATTAAGTTGTTAATGGTTGCACCCTGGAGGTATGGTATCACTGGAAGATGATCTGTTACTGAGTCATGCATCTCTCCTTACCTTTCCTCAGGTGAAGCAGATTTTCCTTTCCAAAATGACTCTCCAAGCTCTGATTTTGTGTCTGGCTTGTGCTGGGTTTGGAAAGGCAAATGGTAAGTTGAATTTCCTGAAATCTGCCTGGAAATGACTGGGGATCTGATTTCTGTTTCCTGAGGTTTCAACAGTCAGAGTAAGAGACAAAAACAGGTGAAATACAGATTGCTGGTGCCATTTGACATAGGTTTGGTAGCTGAGGCATAGACACAGGCCTGGCAGATGTGACGCAAGGCCTTCTGGAGCAGCATTTGGAGGTGCGAGGGACACCCAGCTTCCCATGTCTATGATGACACTGGACACCGTTGTTCACCTGAGTTCACAACTTCCCATAATGGATTCTCCCCTTGGGAACAAACCTCTCTTTTTCTTTGCCTTCCTCTCAAATGCCCTGCAAACTCTGAAGCTACATAGTCCAGAAATTCTCTTTAGCTCATTTTGCTGCTCAGTTCTCTGAGACTGGCTTGATGCGCACTTCCTTAGTGCATTCAGTCTTCCTCTAGCTTTTAGGAAACAAAAATTGTGTCTTTGCCAAGAATGGGAAGCCATGAGCTGATTTAATAAAACTGAAGTGGGAAGTCTGCAAGGATGGGTAGAGAAATAGAGTATGTCTTTTTCTTTTAAACAGTTTAGAAGAAAGCCAGAGCCTCAGCCAATGTAAATCAACATAACTTCATTGATCTCTAGGAGGATGCAGGAGAAGCACATTGGTGGGGGGAAAACCATAGAAACAATATGGTTTTGATCTAATTGTTGTGTCTGTGGGTAAGCCAGGCCTTAGAATTAGCATTAAGCTTCTGAATACATGTGATATCTGCCCATTTCACTATTTCATGTCATTGCAGTGGTTCCACAGGCTAAACAGAGAAATGTGACGGTAGGCCACACTGTGACTCTCAGCTGTACCCTGACAGAACCCCAGGATGTTCTGCAAGTGACATGGCAAAAGAACTCTGAAAAATTACACTATGATAATATAGCTACGTACAGTATCACAAAAGGATTAAAGATTCATGAGCCCTATCAAGACCGAATGAATTTCACAAGTCTGGTACTCAATGAGACAAGCATCACTTTCTGGGACACTAGAATGGAAGATTCAGGTTGCTACACGTGCCTCTTCAATGTTTTCCCTTTGGGCTCCTTCTCAGGACGTACCTGCCTGAATGTCTTTGGTGAGGTTCTCTGCAGGGATATGTCTCTAGTGGAAAAAGAGGTGTTTTCTCACCCACAGTGTTTCCTTGAGAGGTCTCAGGAGCTGCAGTGGTAGGAGCATCCCTCAGTGGAACATGGTGTAGAAACAGAGCATTGCTGCTGTCAACAAGACTCTGTGGGGTCATATTCAAGCCTGTTGTGGTGGTTTTGGCTCTGGGCTGTCCTTGTTTGTTATTCTGTGAGTAGCAGCTAAAAAGCAAGCAGTGGGATCTTTCTTTGTAAGCCCCCCGAGCAGTCCCAGCATGGAACTTGGGCAAACGAACATTGCCTATTGCAGTTTCCTCTTGGTGTCAGGTGCAACCCCAGTGCTGTGAGCTGCTGTGCTGAACCCTAACGTTGGCATGGAACTAGCAGATAGGAGAACAGCTTGGCCCGAGAAATTGTTTTACTTTAACAGATTATCTTAAAACCTGGGATTTCAGGTTGAGTGAAACCTTTGGGGTACATAATGTCAGTATAAGGGAAAGAGGAACCTGACCCAGTGAACTCTTCTTGCATTCCTGTGCTGTGGGGCTTAGTGTGAATGCAGTAAGCTTTGCTCTGATTGATAACGGTTAAACTGCTATTACTTCTTATGACCAGGCGCTCATTGTGGTGATGGGTTGTCTAATTTGTGTGTTGGAAGGTCTCAATGGGTCGCTCCACTACAAAGTTTCCGAAGGTCGTTTGATCGCCATCTGTAATGCTGTTGGCCTCCCAGAGCCCACCGTCACCTGGAGCAACTCGTTCAATTCTACTCCTAAAGAGGAGACAGTCAAGCACAGCAATGGGATGGTGTCCATCACCAGTAAACTGGAGATCTACAACACTCAGAGCATCGCTTCACAGGACTTGACCTGCAGAATAAGCAATGCAAATGAAAAAATAGAATTGCCTGTGCAAATGAAAGGAGGTAGATGAATGATAGAAGCTACTTGATAGTGTTCTCTTGGCCTTTGTGTTTTGCAATAGCATGCTTGGATAGGAATCTGCTGGGAAGAGGAGGGACTGAAATATGTGTGTGCCAAATAAGAAGAGAGGAAATCCTACTTCACATTTCTTGTCATCTTTGAGACGATAACATTTTGGGGCCCTCTCCAAGAGGGGGGGAAAAAAGCCAAACTAGTCAGCTAGGGAGCTATGGGTTTTAGAGGCACCATGTGTTTTGCAGCAAGTTGAACTTCAGTTTTCACACAGGCCTTCATAGTCTCTTTAAAAATCCATAGATAGATATCATGCAACCAATATTTATATCTATCTAGATGAAGTAAAAACTCTCTGGGTTGCTCAATCAACACTGAAGTGGAAGTTTTGAAGTTAATAACAAACTATCTCCGAACAACAATTAATGAAGCATTTCAGTTAACTGTACCAAAATATGTAGTAAGTTTAACCTGTGTATGATGTTTTAGTTTCTCTGACTTTTTTGTGAAGACACACGTGCGTTATAGTGATGGTCAGGGAGGAATAGTATTTTCAGGCACACAGGAAGGTGATCAGTTGAAGATACTTACATGAGTTTTAGGGAGAAATCTTAAATACATCAATGTAACATCTGAATACCTTGTAGTGCTAATTTATTTCTTCTTCCAACATCCTGTTCTGCTGGAAGGACTTTCACTGCAGTTCTATAGAGGAGAAATAGAAACTTTAAAAGCTGAAGTACTATTCTCAGTTCACACAGGAACATTGGCTTAGGTAATTTAAAATTCACGTGCCTCCAAATCCAGAGCCTTACAAGGAAGACCACTTGGAAATTAGGAAGATGGGAAAAGCAGCTTGGGATTGTGGGTTAATTCCCAAATTGTGTGCTCAGGAAGCGATTGTTATTCGGAATAGTAGTAAAGAGCACAATCTGACTTTTAATATCTTTTCTCTGAAAGTTCAAAAGCAAATTAATTCTTAATTCTGAGTGACTGACACTAATTGAAAAAGGACAGAAAGATTTATTATGCTGTCTCCAACGCAGTATTGTTTTGTTTTGGCCTTTTAAAAAAGGAAATGTGTATCTCAGAAAGCAGGAAACTAGGACTGTTGTTATTCCTTGCTAGGAGAATGAAAAAATCAGCTAATAGCTTATCTTTTTAACGATCTTATATTTTTGAGAAAGAGAAATTCAAATGAATAGTTCAACCTAGCTTTGTTAAAAGACATGGTAGTTTTGGTTTGGTTCAAATAGATTCTAATTCAGAAGGTTTTCCAGCTAACATCAGTGAGCACTGAAATGAGCTTTCATATTATCATTTCGTTTAATGGTAGTCAAATGAAATGGCTAATATCTAATCAGGGAGGGACATTTATGCTCAGATGTCGGGTAGAGCTACTTCCAGTCATCAAAACATAACTTCTTGTCTTTTCTGAAAGTTAATTTAGCCTTTTTGACAGTGATAAGTTTTTAACCATAAAAGAAATAACTTTTATTTTTACAAACAAACTCCCTCAAATTCTGGATGAATAAAAATACTTTTCAGAAAGTGTCATGACTTGTATAGCTCTGCTTATGTACGCGTGCCAACTACCGTATCAGATATGGGAATGAGAGTTTTCTTTGCCACGGATGAACATAAGCACATCTTTTCTTCACAAAGTATTTTCTGTGGACAAGTAGATTTGTTTTTGAACATACACACATTCACTCTCTCTTTTGAGCAATTGCTGTTTTCATGTAGCTTGGCAATAACTTTCACAATCTCAATGAGGAACCATTGTCATTAATCAGACATCCTCTCGGCTCTTTTTCCTATACAAACTAGCTTACTTTGGTGTATTTTTTGTTGTTTTGTTTTCACAGAAGAGGGATCTTCATGGCTTTGGCTGGTGATTATTGTGGTGATTTTAGTTGGCATCATAGTTCTGATTCTGATCACATTGTGCTGGAGGAAGAGGATGTGCAGGAGGAGTTGAAGTGGTGAGTCATTGATGCATGGAAACCAACAGTTTTCCTATAGCCCATAATCAGGTCTGGTCACCTGCAGAGAAGAATGAGACTTCGTTGAGGTACCATTAGGGGGTATGAAACTGTCATATTGGACAAGTAAATTTTATAATAATGTGTTTACAGTTATTAGAGGTTGGCTCATTTGCATGTAATTTTAAGAGCTGTTTTCCCACTGGTACTGTCAAGGGACAATACAAGACTACAAATTGTGAGGAGAGGATCCAAGCAGAGCAGGACGTGCTGCTCGTTGTTTGCTTTCAGGCAGAAGTCTCAGCAGAAGTAATTCATTGGTCTTTCACATTTTCATGGAGGGCCACAAAAATGCTAAGTGTAAGTATGCTCAGAGAATTTTTGGCTGGAGAGAAACCCGCTCATGCAGAGCGACATACCCTCAAGAGAAGGGCTTTCTTCTGGTCACAGCACCCTCTTTGTATTTTTAAGACAAACAGTGTAATATGATGATGTGCTCTCAAACTTGGCATATGAGTCTGCTTCCTGATGATGAATTAAGGAGAAATTGCAGTCAGTGTAATATCCTTGTATGTGTCATGACCTGATTATGAATCAACTCAACTTTCTAGTCTTAATTACTAATAACAGAATAAAAGGAAAAAAATCAGAGGAGGGGAGAGGCCTTTAGGCTTCAGAAGTCACAGAAGTTTGATGGTCATTGGTAGTTTCACTTTTGCTTAACTAGATCAAAATGCTGTGTCTGGCTTTAAATCCTACTAATATGTTTAGAAACACCAGCACACAGTAACTCAGTTCCTGAATATTTAGATTCTTGCTTCATGATGATAATGTGATATAAGGTAAAGAAGTTTTACCAGGAGTATTAGACCTGTCTATTGTGAATTTAGACCTACAGCATCTACTGTTAAGAGGAGTTGATCTAGTAAATCTGCTACTGCCACAGACACAAAATTCTCCACTGAGAAGACAGAGAAATCAACACTTCTTACACCCCAAATATAACTTCTTAGTTGTGAAGTGTATGTGAGATTTCCATTGATTTTATAAACAATTCAGAAGAGAAAATTTCTGTTGAATTTTCAGACCAACTTGGAAGTTAAGGGGCAAGGAGTCGGTTCTTAATTTTTTTTTTTCAAAGAATCAGAAGAAAAAAGGTCAAATGCTCATGTCCTGGTTTCAGCAGGGATAGAGTTAATTTTCTTCCTAGTAGCTGGTGTAGTACTGTGTTTTGGATTTAGGAGGAGAATAACACACTGATGAGTTGATAACACACTGATGATTTTAGTTGTTGCCAAGCAGTCTTTTCAGCTTCTTGTACTGGCCTGGATATGAGAAGGTGGAGGGGTGACCAAGAAGCTGGGAGGGGACGCAGCCAGGACAGCTGACCCAAACTGCCCAAAGGGATATCCCATACCATACAACGTCATGTTGCATATATAAATTGGGGGTGGGCCGGGAGACGGAGTGGCTTGGGAACCTGCTGAGCATCAGCTTCGAGTGGTGAGAAATTTTGCTGTTCATCACTTGTTTTGTATATTCTTTATTATTATTATTAATCATCATCAACTTCCTTTTTTGTCCTATTAAGTTGTCTTTATCTCAACCCTTGAGGGTTTTTTGTTTTGTTTTGGGGGTTTTTGTTGGTTATTTTCCTTTTCCATTTTCAATTCTCTCCCCTATCCCACTGGGAGCCGGGAGGGGAGTAAGCGAACTGCTGTGTGGTTATTTTAGCTGCCTGCCGGGTTAAACCATGACAGCTCAATAGAAAAATGTATGTATATTTATTCTAGAACAACCAACTGAGCTTTTACAAAGCAAACCTTGAAGGAGATTACCTGCTAGAGCAGATCAGAGAGTGACCAGGCAAAGAGAGCACTAAAAAGTGCAGGTGCTGCCTTGCAGAGTTTCAAAGTCCCTTCCTTGCATGCCAGATGAGGAGAACTCCACTGGGATGCTGTGGCTATGCTGGTGCCTGAAGCCAGAGCAGGGTTGGTCAGTGAAAGACTGCTTGACAGTGTATGTACAGTGCATGTACAAGACTAGGCTGAGGATCTTAACATGCCTCCTGGCACGATTCTGGTCCTTGGATGTTAGCAGTTCCCCATGCAATGCCTGCATGTGATTCCAGCAATAGCTTGTAACAGGACCATCCCCAGCAGGCAGCACATTCACCTTCACAGCAGGTTTCCCATGCCCTACACCACCTGCTAGGTATCAGGCTTTGAACCCTCAAGACATTTCACATGTCCTTGCGCCATGTCGTGGGCCATGCAAGACACGGTTTCTTGCTGCAGAGACACTGCTGTGATGTACAGCAACAGAGCCTACATGTTATTTTGGAAACTTTGAGCATAGACCCCTCCTCCCACCTTGTAAGGTAAGCGTATGATGCAGAAAAGCATAATATGTTTAAAGTGAAAGCACTGAGCCCCTTCTTCCTTAGCTAATGGCTCAGACCTTGAAGCCCCCCTGTGTCAGCAAGAGAAGTGGGGTCTCATGCCCTGCTGCCTAGGACGTATGGATTCCTGGCCCCATGTGTGTGCCAGAGTGTCACAGGCTCGAGACTTCATGTAAATACCTGTTCACCAGGGCAGAGGGGGTAAATTTGTTATATTAGAGTTTATTAACAAAAGCTGGATTTGGGGGACTTCAGTGGTTGTTGAACAACAATTTAAATTCCATTTATCATGGGTTTTGATTAACTGTGATGACAGGATGTGACTTCTGCAGTGGGCTTGTAAGTCATTCAGTCTCTGTTCTTTTAATGTAGTCTAGTTTTTATCAGTCTGTAGTAGTCTGTATCTTTTCAGTTGATTTTGGTCTTGAGGTTGGAAGATGTAATGCATTGACCTGGATTTTTTTTGCTTAAAGGCAGCATTACTTTATCCAGAGTAATTTTGACCAGCTATTCCTTTTCCTTCACACAGTGACCAGCTTAAGGAAATGTGTGGTCCATCTTCCTAATGTACATCTATTAGTTAGTTTGTTGTAAAACTCCACTACTGGTGCAGTTTGATCACTCTGTCACCATCCGATTATTATTTTTTTTCTGGATGCCCTTTTCTGCCTGTTGATAAATGTTACTTGCAATTTACCTTGTATATGATTTCACTGTCACTTTCCCAGCCAAATCCTTAGAATGCTAAGAATACCAGTGGAGCTACAATAATTTTTAACAATGTGTTGAGAGTGCTTTACTACTCCACAAATACCACATTGTAATGAGGAGATCCCCTACACCTCCTTAGTTTCCCTCTAAGCAGCACACTGTGGACCCTAGTCTGTTTTTGTGATGACTTGTTTTTCCCTCACTCATCTGTGAAATCTGTTTATGCTTTTTAAAGCATTGGATGCCGTTAATCCACCCAAAAGAGAATAACATCTTGCAGAAAGCCCTTTACTGGTTTTATCCTCTGTTACCCCCGGATCGTACTGGAACGAGGAGCAGCGCCTACGTACATATTTCTGGATGCACTTTTTGTAACAGCACAATAGAGAGCTAATAGCACTGGCAGGAGTACACCAATGTCTGTTGGAAGCTATTATCTGGGGCTTCAATCCTTCTTTTCATTCTGCACTAGATAGCAAGCAAAGCCTTTCCAGTCTTGACAAGATGCCTGGTTTTTAAAGTAAAACAATGGCTTTTTATCTGGGTGGCTGGGGATCCTTCTCATCAAATTTTCTTCTCTTCTGCTTCTACTGTTGAGAATAGGCTTGGTTTTTACTTTGCTTTTTTTTGTTGTTGTTTCCCTCCTCCCTGTGGCAGACGCTTGGGATTCAGCTGAAGAGCTGGGGCTCAAAGTTGATGTCCCATCCCTCAGGCGTTTGCCTTATGCACCAGTTATAGAGCATACACATATTTTGGTTCTCCCAAAAAAATCCCAAGCAAAGCGTCTTCACAGAGTGTGACAAAAAGTCACTTATTTGGAAACAAACTGTGCAGCCTTTGTGGGGAGAGCTGCTGCAAAAGCTTTGGAAAGCTTGTGTCTTCATCCGCTGCCAAGCAGAGAGGGAAATTGTAGCCGTGCCTGTCGCTCGATGCAGCACGATGAGCAGGCTGCAATGAATCACCAGGCATAACTTCACCCGTGCTAGAGGTTTCTTAGTGTTACTCTTCTGGTAAAAAGTTACGCCTTTTCCTACCTGGCTCAACTAATAGAGCTTAGCTGCAGACCATACCAGCATAAAGCAGTCCCATTAACAAGCCAGGTGCCTGGACTGAAGAGAGAAAAGAAAAAAAGGCTATTAGTCTAAAAAAATTCCCATGACTCACCTACCGCGTACATGTCTGAATGCTTTCCACAGCATCAGCTGTTAATTTCAAGACCTGCAGGATACTCATATTTCAGCCTGGCCAGTTAAAAAGCTTTATAGTAATTTCTCAGGAGCTAGCAGTCTCCAGGGGATATAAAATTCCATGCAAGCAGTTTTCTGGAGGCTTGTGGTGGTCTGTGAAGGGCTATTTCACAAATGGATATAAAGGCCAGTATGATATCTTTTTTATTATTTTTTTTTAGCATTGGTATGTTGATCTCTCTTGGGTGGCTTATGCACATTTCACCATGTAGAAAGCTTTAGAAATGGTTGAATAGTTTTTTAAACAGAAATATACTATAATAACAGGACAAAAAGTTCTTGGAGCTTGTTATTGAATAGATGTGATGTGATTTAAGAAGGCCGAGCAGTTTAGGTGAATCTGGAAGAAGAAAACTTGAAGAGTCATAGAAGAAAAGACTAGGTCAGATCAAGAAACCTGTTCTGCAGAAAGTGCCAACATAGCAATGGGTTTTTCCTGTTCGGAAATTGAAACATTCAAGTTTTCCTATAATACGTAGGTATCAGAAACCTAAATTTTTGTGGCCAAAGATGCCCTAAAAGATTGGGAAATATGGAAGTCTTGTGCAGGAGATTCCAGTTATTTGGGAAACTTTACAACAACAAGTACTTGCACACACTTTCCATTGCTTAGTTTATAGTAAATATAAGAATTATT